GCCTTCCTTTATAACTAGAAGCTTGTCTCCAGACACTTGGGACGCGGAAATGGCCTGCCTTCCCCATTCTCCACTAGCTGCAATGTCAATCCAGGTGTCTGGATCTGTCTACTGTGGGGCTGGCTCCTCCTAGGTGCCGGGCTAAGGCCAGGACTTCAGAGTCACTGAAACTTCTTTCTCTTTTGAAACAGGGTCTCATGTATCTCAGGCTGGTCTGAAGCTGGCTGTGTAGCTAAGGATGCCCTTGAGCTGCTGATCTGCCTGCCTCTACTTCTCGAGAGTTGAGATTATAGTTATGCAACACACAGCTTACGCAGTGCTCAGGATCAAACCCAGGGTTTCATGCATGCTAGAGAAACTGTCAACTGAGTTCTGTTTCCAGCCCAACTGAAATTTTTGTGGGTACCTCTGAGCTTCCTGGACACAGGGTTGCAGGGCCCAGGGTCTGTCTTCTTGTATGATTCCCAGAGCTCTCTGAGGACTTAGGGCCCCACCTAAGTGTGCTAGCTCAGTTCTCCTAAAGCCACTAATGCCATCATGGGAGCCACCCTCATGACTTAAATCCAATTCTTACCACCCATGAGTCCCGCCTCACAAATTGTGAAAAAGGTGTGAGCCACCACCATGCTGGCTCAGTCCACTCAGACTCAAAGGCCCATCTCTGTTTCTGGAAATGTTCTCACAGAGAGCCTCAAGATAAAGTGTGACCAGTTCTCTCAGCATTCTTTAATAGTCAAGTCAACACCTGAATTCACCTGCCACAGGCTGTCTGTGATTTATAGTCTCTGGAAAGGGGGACTAGGCATCTCCCTTCCAGATAGACTCAGCACCAATGGATGAGCGTCACTGTTTCAAGTCTTACACCTCAGAAGAAAGGTTCTCACAGACATTACTGCCAGTTCAGGGGGTGAGAGCCATCAGAATATAGACTAGGCTCAAGGCTGGGCACAGTGGCCCCTACAGGAGAGGATCTCCCTGACAAGTAGGTTCTGGCTCTCTAGGGACTCCATCCTCAACTCATCAGCTGAAGGTCAGGACTTTTTGGGTTACTGTTGACCTGTGGATGGGTGTGATGTTTCTTACTAATTTGCTGTGACCCAGATTCCAGCAAATGGCCACTCCTGGGCAAAAAAGTATAGCATGAAAAAAAGATGCAGGTAATAACTTCTGGGATCCTTTGGAGATTAAGAGTGATCTGAGAAGTCTTGCTGGAAGGCCTCAGTGTGGTTCTGCACTCCTGGACCCAGGAGCTTCCACCCTACATACCCTGACCAAGAGAATAGCAGGAAAGCCTATCCCTGAAGGCAAGTGAGGAGAACTCTGTTAGTATTTCCCTGGCACTGCCCCCTCACAGAAGCTCTCCTGAATACTGTGGCAAACCAAGTGGCAGTCCCCAGGGTCAAGATGCTCACAAAGGCCATGTCCTCAACTGTGGAGGGAGATAGTTACTCAGTGTGTGGCTGACTTGAATGAAGGGTACCTGCTGCTGGAGGCAAGGCCTAGGCCCAGCAATCCCTTGGGGGAAAAAGAGGAAAGACCCCTTTCTATGTTGGTTTGTGTGTGTTTAAGACAGGGCCCCTGTAGGCCAGGTCTTGAACCTAAGACAGTCCTCCTGTTCAGCCTCCCAAGTGTACTGGCTGGCTTGTGTGTGAATGTGTTTTAACAAGATATAATTATTTTTTGGAGACCTCACACTTATGAAATAGCTGGTGAGATATCGCCTGTAATTACTGGATTCCAGTTTCACTTTTTGAACATTTGTTACTTTTTAGCATCAACAGACTTAGTATGCGCCTGATGCTAACTGACGTTAGATTGACAGCTCTCCATCCACTGATCATGCAGTCTGCTTAATGTCAAGTCCTTTGTGTCTTTTGCCATTCTCTTGAAGGATTTTCCACTGACCTCCTTTTTTTTTGTGTTTGTTTGTTTTGTTTTTCGAGACAGGGTTTCTCTGTGTAGCTTTGCACCTTTCCTGGAACTCACTTTGGAGACCAGGCTGGCCTCGAACTCACAGAGATCTGCCTGCCTCTGCCTCCTGAGTGCTGGGATTAAAGGCATGCGCCACAATACCCGGCCACTGACCTCCTTTCTGTACAATCTGGGAAAACCAATCCGTGGCAGGAGTAGTGTCGATGAAGTGTTCACACAGCTAAAGAGACAGTTTTCAGTGTGGGAGTCTGGTAGATGTCCCTTTCCACATGCTTATCCCATCACAGCTCAGCATCTGCTGTAAACTGGACCTGCTCTTCTGTGGCCGCCAGACAAGGCAACTCTGCTTCACCCAGCTTGGCCATTGTTGGCATGAGGATCTAAAAAGGTTTATTTCTAATTATACATTTGTGTCTGTGTGAGTGCTTGTGCATGTGAGTGTGGGTGCCCAAGATGGGCACAAGTGGGCATTGGATCCCCTGACAATGGAGTTGTAGGTGGTTGTGAGCTGTGGGATGTGGTATTGGGAACCAAACTCCAGACCTGCACAAGTACAACAACCATTCTTAACATCTCTCCAGCACTTTCCTTTAAAGCCAGGGTTTTGTTTTGTGGCCCAAGCTGATCTTGAACTCATGGCCATCCTCCTGCCTCATCCTCCTGAGTACTAGGACTATAGGCATGTGACAATCAACCTGCTGGGCTGGGGCTTCTTGCCTGGTCCTGTTTCTTACCTTACTGGCAGCCAGGGGAGATGTCAGCTGTGGGCATGCTCAGTACTCCAAGGGCACCTGGTCACTGGTAGTGCCCTGGCTTTCCCTGTACAAACTTGTGCGTCAGAAAGTGTTGTTATATGAAGAAGCAGCACCCAAGTTCCAGGGGCTGCATCTGAGTCAGCTTTGATGGCAACCTCTCTTTTGGCTTCCTGTCTCAACTTCCCAAGCAGCCGGGATTATAAGCTTGTGCCATCACACACAGTTTATTATCTTTTTTTCCCCCTGAGACAGCGTTTCTCTGTGTAAACTGTGTGTTACTTTTGTTTATGCTACATTTTATGTAAAGATGTGTTGCATTTGTTTCACCTTGCCTGCCTAAGGCACCCGATTGGTCTAATAAAGAGTTGAAAGGCCAATAGCTAGGCAGAAGGAGGATAGACAGGGCTGTGAGGCAGAGATAATAAATAGGAGAAATCTAGACTTGAGAGGAGAAGAAAGAAGAACAAGAGAAGGAGAAAGGGTGATGCCTACAGCAAGAAGCCAGGCAAAAGCCAGCCAGACACGGAGAAGCAGCAAAGTAAGGTATACAAATGTAAGTAATAAGCCCCGAGGCAAGGGTAGATAAAGAGAAACAGGTTAATTTATGTTAAAAAGAGCTAACCAGAAATTTAAAACTAATAATAAGTCTCTGTGTCATGATTTGGGAGCTAGTTGGTGGCCCAGAAGGTACAGAAGGGTGCTTTGTCTTTTGTGTATGTCTGTGATCACACGTGTGCCTGGTGCCTGTGAAGGTACAAGAGGTACAGGCAGTTGTAAGCCATCATGTCGGTGCTAGTGTTGGGAACGAACCAGCAACAAGTGCTCGGAACCTGCTGAGTCAGCTCTTCATCCAGCACCTCATTTTATCTATTATCTGATTGCATGTTCAGGAAGTCTGCACAGACAGGTAAAAACTGTTCCAAGGTACAGTGTGTGTGTGTGTGTGTGTGTGTGTGTGTGCAGCACACGTACCCATGTTGTGTAGAGGTCATAGGACAACTTTCAGAAGTCAGTTCAGGTCTTCCACCTTAAGACAGGGTTTCTCCTGTTCACCGCTTGCTGCTTATTCCAGGCCAGCTAGCCCTGGAACTTCTGGACAAGTTTTTTGTCTTCACTTTCTTACAATAGGAGCCGGGGTGGGGGTTGGGGGGAACTACAGATGGAAGGCCACAGGAGAGAGAGCGAACTCATATCTTCAGGCCTATATTGCAAGTGCGTTGGCCCCAACCTGTGTTTACTTTTTGAATTTCTTGCAATTGATTAAATGGCTTGTGAATGCACTCATGAAGAACGCTGTCCATGGCCCTCTAGTCGGCTGGCCGAAAGAGTGCACCTGCCACGGGTTGCCTACCCTGGAGTCAGCTGGGCCAGCGCTGTCCGTCGCTGATTCACGCCTCCAAAATCCCTACTGAGAAAGATGTCCCCACAAGAGCCCCTGCAAGTGCAGCTCAGAAGAGGACTTCAGCAGTCACCGGTGGCCTAACCTCTCGGCCGCGGCTCCGCCCATTCCACAGCCAGGAGGAAGTCCCGCCTCCCAGAATAGTCAACCTGGGAGAGAGCCTCGCCCCCTGCCGCGAAGAGCACTAATTGGCTGTCCCCGCCCTGCCCCCGGGGAAAGCGAGTCCGAGGTGGTACATCCAAGTCGCGTTTCTTCCCTTCTGGGTCTCTGTGAGAGCAGCCACCGCCGCTTGATAGATAGCCTGGCCCTCCCGGACTCAGCCATGTCGCCTTTGGCAGGAGCTGTCGCTGTCCGCAGCTAGTCCACGAAGGGGGAGGGGCAGACTTGTGCAATGTTTGACTCTTGATTGGCGAGAATTAGGAAAGGGGTGGGCCTAGAAGGTTATGATCGATGGGAGATGGCACAAATGCCTTAGCAGCAGCAGCCAATAGTGATAAGGAGGGGGCGGGAGGCCAGGCGGTTGCAGGGTCCGTGAACCGGGCTGCTATGGCTCTGAGGCAGTCTGCAGGAAGCAGTAGGGCAGTAGTTCGGACGGACGTGCAAGGGCGACCAATGAGTCAGGGAAATCAGGGGAAGTAACCAATGGTCACTGTGAGGAGGCGGGGAATAGCCAGCCTCCGCAACACTGTGTACGAAACGGGGGACGGGACTGCGTTGACGGACAAGGGTATAGACCAACAGTGGTGGGAAAGAGGGTGGCAGGAGACCAATAGTAGTGGCGAGTGGGCAGGGCGGGGCGACCGGGGGCTCGGCGGCACTGTGTGTGGGGAGACGTGGGGGCGGGGCGACCGTGACGGCCAGGCTGCCAGGCCAATGGCCCGGGGAGGGCCGGCGGAGGGTGGCCAATGGCGGCTAGGCATCCGGGGGCGGGGCTGCGGGGCTGCGCGGTGCTGTGCGGGAAGCGGCGGGCGGCGGCGGCGGCTAGGAGGCTGAGGTGAAGCTGGAGGCAGCTGGGTGGGTGCACTGGGGGCGTTGGCCTGCGGGCGGGAGCATTAGCGTGGAGACCGCACGACCGCTCACCAGCCTTCGCCCGCAGGTCTGGCGGTGGCGCCGTGGGCCGCGGTGCGGCGGGCGGGAGGATGGGCACCCAGGGCAGCCCAGTGAAGAGCTACGATTACCTGCTCAAGTTCCTGCTGGTGGGCGACAGCGACGTGGGCAAGGGCGAGATCCTGGAGAGCCTTCAGGACGGCGCAGCTGAGTCCCCATACGCCTACAGCAACGGTAGGCCGGGTTTGGCGGTGGGCGCGCGGGGCGGGAGCGGCCTGGCGCGGGCGCGGGCGTCCTCTGCGCGTGTCGCTGCAGTACCCTCCAGTCCTGCCCTGGAGAGCTGTCGGCGAGCGGGCGCGGGCCGGGGTGGCGGCGACCGGCTAGTAAGAAGTCTCAGCGGCAGGTCTTTGGAGTCCCTTGGGGCCTGGAATGGCCCGTGCGGCACATACCGCACGATGGGCCGGGTCCTCACCGCACTGTCCCTGAGCAAACGCTCACGGATACCGCACCCTATGCAGGGAGAGAATACACTGGCCGCGATGTGATTCTTGTTAACTTCCGGGTACACGGCAAAAAATACACAAGGTAGATTGCATCACTGGTGCTTGCCTGAGCTTGTCTCTTAATTTGGGTATTTAAGGTAAAATTGTAGTTAACAGTAGGTGGGACTGGATCACAGGCTACTGGGACTGCTGACTCCGGAGGAATTAATGTCCAATGGGCCTTTCGTTCTACTATCTCTGGATTCGTTTTACCTTGCTGTTCTCTTCCTGGGTCCCTTCTCTCTGCCTCTTTACCTCGTTCTCTGGGGTCTTGTTAGTCCTGTCTTACTGCTCCGAGCACTGGCGGTTTTGAAAATAACAGCTGAGCGTGTGAGTAAGACATCTCCCACTCTTAGGACTTAGGACTTGTCGAGGGTGCTGATCACCAGTACTTCAGTGGAGGACCTTTCCTTCTGAGTACCAGTGTACCAGATCTTCTCAGTACCTCCTTCCCAAGCTCCTGCTCTCATCCCCAGTCTACAGCAGACATCTTTAAGTGCAGGAAAGGAAGAGCCATGGTTTTCTTTTCTGGGGCATATGAGGGGACCCCTGCACCAGCCAGGCCACCCTGACTGCCATTTGACTGGATGTCCCAGGGTGTGATAGTCCTGCTCAGATAGGCTTTGGAGTTGCTTTTCCAGCAGTGAAGTGTGGGAAGGGATAGCCTTGGCTTCGGAAGTGCTTAGTGTTAACTTGTGCTTTGGAGAGTCAGCTTGTGGCCCCCTGCCCCCATCTGTGAGCTCCACCAGTTTCAACCACATGTACACACAGCCTCCAGTCGGACCTTCTTTCCTCATCTCCTCTGTCAACTGTATATTGCCGTATTTCCTGTGACATGCTAACTTAAGTGGGGCCAGTAGCACATAAAGCGTATGGAGATGTGAGGCTTACTGTGGGCTGCTGGCCACAGGGTACCGTTCCCCAAATGCTTTTACACCGCACAAGCTGTGAGGCCAGGGCACACCCGCAGGTCGGTGTGTGGCTCCTGCAGTCTGGAGCAGAGAGGGAAGAGTGCCTCAGTTGTAGCAGTACATTTCTTGTGTCGGGTTAAAATGCATACAGCACAAATATCAGGTCTTTGTGGGCAGAGCATTGGGTCACTGAGTGAAGTTGGTGGATCTGAGAATACCTGGGCCCTCCTCATAGAAGAGGCATTTGGAAGAGATAAAGTAGTTGGTTCTAGAGATTGAGTACAATGTGTTTCCTGTTGAAAGAACTGGACTTCTGCTTCTCTTAGACGATAGGTGAATGTTTCATTTTCCTCATCATTATTAAAAATCTTCAGGCCAGGCCATGGTGGCTCAGCACTTGGGAGGCAGAGGCAGGCGGATCTCTGTGAGTTCGAGGCTAGCCTGGTCTACAAAGTGAGTTCCAAGACCATCGAGGCTACACAGAGAAACCCTGTCTTGAAAAACAAAACAAAACAAAATCTTCAGTATTGGGGCTGGAGAGGTGGCTCAGTGGTGAGAGCACTGGCTGCTCTTCCAGAGGACCCAGGTTCAGTTCCCAACATCCACATGGTGGTTAACAACTGTCTGTAACTCCCAAGATCTGACACCCTTACACAGACATATGTGCAGGCAAGACACCAGTGCACATAAAATAAAAATAAGTATAAAAAAATTAAAAAATAAGTGTAAAAAATTACAAAAAAAAAAATAGCCGGAGCCGGCGGCGCACGTCTTTAATCCCAGCACTCGGGAGGCAGAGCCAGGCGGATCTCTGTGGGTTCGAGGCCAGCCTGGTCTACAGAGCAAGATCCAGGAAAGGTGCAAAGCTACACAGAGAAACCCTGTCTCGAAAAATAAAACAAAACAAATAAAATAAAAAAAAAACCATCCTTCAGTATGTACATTTTAATCTTAATTATTTTTTCAAGGTTCAGGGTTCCTCTGATTAGCAGCAGGGTGGTCCTTACCTGGGAAGGGGCCTGCTGCTCCATATTGGCCCTGAGCGCCTTCTTGCTCACAGCTGAGTTACCTGTCTTAACATCTCGTCTAGCTTGTTCCTCAGGTGTGAACATCGTTCTCTCTCTGACTTCACAAACATGTGAGTCATCAAAACAGCTTTTTTTTTTTAATTAGCACTGGCACCTGAAACAGTGACATTATGATACTGTGACCATATGCCTAGCATCTGCAGGAGCCCCCAGGTCTGGTGATATAGATACTTGTGGTTAGGATCTCTGTGGAGTTGGAAACATTAGGGCTTTGAAGATGCAGCAGGGACTCTAGAAGAACAGTCTCTTCTCTTTTAGATGCAACAGGGCATTCTGCAGAGAGCTTCCACCTGGGCATCCACAGGGGAATTACACTCCAGAGCAAAGGCATTGTGGATTCTCAGTTATGGGAGAAGACATGAAGAGTGGTGGTGGTGGTGGGGGGGTGTTCCGTGAGCAGCTCTGCTCACAAACATACAATGAATGGATTTGCCTCTGGTTCTAATATATGGCCCTGGAATGATAGGCCCGTGTTGGCCTTAAGTCAGCCAACTGAGTAGTCATCCTTGAATCCAGGAAACATTATTGCTACAGCACACAAGACTGTCCTTATTTGACCTTATTGTTATGGGCTTGAACATCCTCAGTTAAGGCAATTACATCTTGCTCTAGCTCCTACAAAGATGTCTGAGTGTTAGGTCCTTCAGGAAATCCATTGTGGCTTATATGTTCATGGCCTGAAAGATCCACATTCATTAATGAGTCCATGGGTGTTGTTTCATATCTCTGTTCCTTTGGGAGTTAGTGTTTATAGAAAGAAGCTGCAGAGTGATGCCATTGTCGTTTGAGCCCAGGGAATAGGGAGGGAGGCAAGGTACAGGACAAACTGTCATTGGGTGTTGCCATGAATGAATTTGATGGTTATGGAGATGTCTGTGGAATCAGATGATGCATGCACCCTGAAAGAGTGAGGATAATGTGTGCCTATGTCACAACATGCTGTGAGGTCCCTGCTAGATAGTCAGGGCAATGATGTCACATCGGTGACCCACAGGCCAATAACATGCTAATCCTAGCTCCATGTTTCTTCTCATTTGGGTTGAAGTCCATTTCTCTAAATGACACGTTCAAGGGGAATTTTTAAATGTTTTATTTTATTATTGTTATGTGTGTGTATGTGTACATGCTATGGCACTCACGTGGAGGTCAAAAGACGGCTTTTGACCAGACATGGTGGCACATGCCTTTAATCCCAGCACTCAGGAGGCAGAAGCAAGTGGATCTCTGTGAGTTCGAGGCCAGCCTAGTCTACATAGTGAATTCAGGACAGCCAGAGCTGTATAGTGAGACCCTGTCTCAAATATACCAAAATAAATAGGTAATAAATAAAATAAGGGGGAAAAAAGACAGCTTTTGGGAGCTGTTTCTCTTTCCTCTTTCCCACCTTTAGTGGGATTTGAGGATTGAATTCAGGTCAGGCTTAAGCAGCAGGCACCACATGATTGTTTTGCCTGCATGTATGTCTGTGTGCCATGTGTATTCCTGGTGCCCATGGAAGCCAAAAGATGACATCGAATATCTTGGGACTGTAGTTACAGATAGTTGTGAGTCACCATATGAATACTGGTAATTAAACCCAGGTCCTCCTCAAGAGCAACAGGTACTCTTAACTGCTGAGCCAACTTTCCAGCTCCCCTCACGGGGAACTTTAGAACACTCTTCTGTATTTTCTGTTTTTGGACCTGCCTTTACATCATATACTCCACATGTCTCATCCATTGCTTTATCTCCAGCGCTACCATGAGGGTTGCATATACCTTTCTTTCTTTTTTAGTCATCTTTTTTTTAGACAGGGTCTTGCTTATGTACCTCAAGCTGGACTTATATTTGCTGTCCTGCCTCAGCCTCCCTAGTGCTAGAATTACAGTTCCACTGTGCCTGATCTAAACGTGTATTTCTGAGTCAATGAACAACCTGTGTACAGCTTCCTTATCCTGACTGTGTTACTTGGTGCTGGTCCTCATGATCACCATGGTAACCCCTCACAGTCCTTTCTCATCTCTGTTCAAGACCGGACACTTTGATCTAGATTTTATTGTGGATACTCTGGGGTAACTTATTGGGGGGGGGGATTGTCTGCCTTTCCTATGTTAGATGCCAGATTTTCTGGCAGATTGATGGCCCCAGGAGGAACAGGAAGGAGCTGTCATTGGTACAACAGCCAGTGCCTCCAGTGTGTGGTCTGTGCTAGGCGTGCTGCTAAGCATGTCTGTAGTCATCATTTAATCTTCGCCAGTACCAGGATTCCCGTCTTACAGATGAGGCTCTTGGAGCACTGCTGTTTCCTGGGTGATGTGGTCCTGGGTTCTAGCCTTCACTGACAGGGACAATGACAGGCAGACCTCAAACAGTGGAGCGGGGGCACTTAGTGGTTTGCCTCTCCTTACCTTCCTGGTGCCTGAAGTTGCCAGACAGCCACTGCTTATGCCCACTTTATTTGAGATCCACGCCTTGGAAGACCTGTCCCAGGTCTTACCTGACCCAGCTATCATCTGGGAAGGCACATCATCCTTCCTGAGAGTTGTCACTTCTTGACAGGCCATTCTAATTTGTCACAGGCCCTGCAAGGGGCTTGGTTACCTTCTGTTTCTCACAGTGCAGGTACCTCCACTTCCACCTCATCATTGTGTTCATTTGTTCAGTCATGTATTTGTGGCTATTTTACCATTGTTTTTTGGTTTTTCGAGACAGGG